ATCAAAGGACAGCAGGGTAGGTCCTATGAGGAAAGGTTGCGGGACCTGAACCTGTTCAGCCTTCAAAAGAGAAGGCTGAGGGGGGATCTTGTGGCCTGTTATAAACTGGTTAGGGGGGATCAGCAGGTGCTGGGGGAGTCCCTGTTCCCCCGAGCGCCGCAAGGAGTGACCAGGAACAATGGTCACAAGCTGGCGGAGGGAAGGTTTAAGTTGGACATCAGGAGGCGCTACTTCATGGTCAGGGCGGCTAGAGTCTGGAACCAGCTTCCAAGTGAGGTGGTGCAGGCTCCCACCCTGGGGGTTTTTAAGAGGAGGTTGGATGACGACCTTACTGGGGTCATTTGACCCCAGTGCTCTTCCTGCCATGGCAGGGGGTCGGACTAGATGATCTGCTCAGGTCCCTTCTGACCCTAGAAATTATGAAACTATGAAACTATGAAATACATACTAGACTAATATGGTATAGTTTCATTAAACTAATTATAGATATAGTGATGTAATGATTGAGATTGCAATGAAAATTGAATCATTAACTCCATAGTTTCATTTTATTCTATCTGAAAATTAATCATGAAATTATGAAGTTTACACTAGAAGTAATTACAATGACATTGTGTTGGTCTTGTCTTGGGAAAATCTGAGGAGGACTCAGATTCCTTTCAACCCAAGAATGGACCCAAATGCCAAGTTATATGCTAGGCCCTATGATTGTGGGCCTGCTGGGCCCACAGGGCCTTGACCTTTATGTGGCACTGGTGCACCAACTGACTGTGCCCTCACTCTCGCATGCAGCCTGCCAGGCCTTCATAGATGTGTGTGTTGGAGCAAACTGGCTCTGGACCTGAACCTCACCCTACAGTGCTATGAGGTCCATGGTCTCATCCTGGTACCGGTTACACTCTGGGAAGCAGCGTGTGACATTGGGGAAGATGCCAGTGTGGCTCCCTCAACTGCCCTCAGGGGCTGAGCGTGATAGTCCAGGCCTGGGCAGATGCCTGCAGTGCACAACACAGGGGCAAAGCACAGGACAGGTAAGCAGGCAGCAGAGCTGAGCTGGGGGCCACCCTAGGGTTATGGGCAGGCTGCTGAGACTGACTTGGGGCCACTGCTCTGGCATTTGGTGGCCAGAGGAAGGCAACAGGTGGCACAGACCCCCAGGGTCACTGAAGAGTTTTAAAGGCCAGGCTGGGGCATCTGGCCTTGAAAAGCTTGAAGTCCCATGGCCCTGGGAGTAGCCTGAGGGTGGCCCCCTGGTGGTGGGGCTGAGCAGGAGCAAATTTGGTCCTGGTAGCCATCTATACATGCGCTACCGGACAATTACTATGGCATAGTTAATTTGCTGCCTGCATTTCCTGGTAGCAAATGAGCTGCAGAGTAGATTAATTTACTGCACAGTGAGTGCCTGAATGTCTGGAGGGTGATGCTTTACCGTGCTGTCAAGTAGTCAGCTGCTCAGTAAAGCATCTCATGTAGAGGCACCCAGTAAATCCCAATCAAAATGTAGTGAAAAATCTCATTCAAGGCATGTAGACCAAGGAGGCACACTTTGTTTTGCTTGCCTTACTCCCTCTTATGGGAGCATGTGCCTTATATTTAGGTTAAACAGTGGGTTTTTCACCCAAATAGGTGACTTTCTGAACTTTTACCTGGCTTTTAGTCCTCTCTTCCTCTTTGCTGAGACAAAAACCTTCAAACCACATGAAAGAGTTTAGAATTATCCTTATGTAGCTGATTTTTTATACACTGGAAAGTCTTTATTTTTCATACATTATAAATATTTATTTTATTTTCATACATTATGGATATTTATTTAAAGAAGATACAGGTTACTTCCAATATGTCGGTACTTAAAATTATATTTATGGCAACTTAAGACACTATCAGTTGCTTTTGAAAAGGCATCTGTCCCAGCCACCAGTGGAGGGTTCGGGATTGATTGAGAGTGTGGTCGGGGGCTAAAAAGGTAAGAAAGGTTTATTGACTTAACAGAAACATGCATAGTATACTAAGACAGATAATGATAGACAATAATAATTTACATTGGCAACTTATCGGCAGTCCCCTCTGATGCCTGATGTACAACAAGTTTCTCTTTCCACAAAGCTCAGTGAATTCAAGCGTCTCCAATCAGTGCTGTCTGAAAGGTACTGGGAAGGACCCTGGTATTCAGTCCTTGGGCTCCTCAAGATCCACGGGCCCACTGATCCAGGTCAACATCTAATTAGTCCCTTTCACAGAGCTGTATCTTCCTTCTGAATGATTTCTGGATGTGCCAGCCCATTTATAACTTCTGAGCTGTGCTGATAAGTTACAGCCATTCAGATTCCTTTTATTTCAACTGTCCTTAGACTGACCAATAGCAGTACAAGCCTTGCATTCCTTTGATAAGGTTAATTTTAACTATGCCACAGGGCCTTACTACTTCAAGGCTTTGTTAAATTTACTAGACCTTACTTTATACAAGGCCTTACTACATCTTAAACTTTAATTAGGCTCTTAGCAACAACATATAGCTTAATATTTGAACAGATGACAGAAAAACACTTGGTCTAATCTTCATAGAGCCTTCAGCAAATAACTTTATCACACACACATAATTTTCAGCTGTCACGGTATCATCCCAAATATACTGTATCTAAATGCAAACCTTAATTTAACAGCCACTGTGTATTAATATCAGATAGTTTACTCTATTTACTCATTTACCACATGCATCCCTTTCCTGAAAATTAGCCCTCCAAAACTGAGGTATGTGTCTTAAGCAAGGAAATGGATTTCCATGCCAGAATGGAGGCATGTGGATGCTGGAATCTCTCCTGGGGACTGTGCTCATACAGCATATCCAGGAGGAGTGGCGTCCACTCAGTGTCACTCAGCCTGTACTTATAGCTCTGTGAGAGGGTTATACCTATAGCTGTGGACCTGGGATAAAAAAGTGACTGACACTGATGGGTGGACTCTACTGTATCTCCATATAGCCCAGAGTATGTCAGTGATAGTAAGTCTGTGCTGTGGCATGCGAGTAAATGTGGGATGTACAAATATAATAAAGTTATTTTACGCTGTAACTAGTTACTATTGCAATAAAGTATTTGAATCCAAGACAACTTATATCCATTGTGGATGGATTCATTGGCAAATGCTTAAGTGAATCCTTAGCAAACAGAAGAAAACAGTAAGGACCTCTTCATGAAAGTGTAAGAAAAAAAGAGAGTAACTTCTTTTATGACCAAGTTTTAAAGTTTTCTTTAAGAATCAGTTAAGCATAAAAAGAACACTTTAAGTGCGAAAAGACTTTCCTAAAGAAAATCAGAGTGTTTTGATGCATCTGAAAAATAATTTAAAGTTCTTTAATTCTGATGGAACTAAGCGAGTATTTCTGAAAATGGTCTGAATAAATGAAGGAGTTAAAACTCCAAAGGTATTCAAACAATTTCTTGGCACAAAGACAAAAGCATTTGCAATTACTTCATACATATTATCATATTGCATATTCATGCACAGAAGCTGCTACAAAGACCATCTTGTGAAGTTGCTGAGCTACTGGAAGGCAACTAGAACTAATATTGGAATCCAGCCAAGGCCCTGCAAGAGAAAGACCTATGCTTTCAGTGGTATCATGGAAGGAAAAGAGTACTATTTTCTCTGAACTGCAAGATACATTTTCTTTCTGATTGTTTTAACTATCAGATTCTCTTACATGTGTCATTAATGCACTTACACTTTGTGAGCAACAGTTTTGATATGGGCCTGGGAAAAGATTAATCACTTGATTATAAATAGAATTAACTCTGATAACATGTAAAAGAAGCTGTTATTTTTAGGTCAAAAATCATTTGAAAAAGTGATGAATTTAAATTACCCATATCTTTGTTGGAAAAATAGTCCAGAATATTTTAAGAAATGCTGAGGCCACTAAAATATAGCCATTAAAAGAATTCATGCATAAAGAGAATGTGTTGATTAGATAATCAGATGTATTTATATTCCCCCCCTCAGTTGTAGCTGTTATATTCATTACTTCTGTTGGAATGCTGACATTAGCTTCCCTGGCAAAGTCCCCTTACATCTTTGTTTTTTGGTTTCTCTTGGAAGATCATGTGATCTATGTATAATCTTGCAGCTTTTGCAGAAGCAAAAGTCATGTTATGACTTGAGACCAAATATTGCCCTTTGTGAGAAGACTGAACTATCCTGACAATACAGAACACCTGGTTTCACTTAATAGATGGAGGCAGAGCAAATGGGCAAAGCAAAGACCATGTGCATGTCTGTACTGGCTTTAGGCTATTGCAAAAAAATAAGTCTGACCCACCAACTTCAGATCTGTATGAACCCAAGCTGGAACTGAAGTAGTGAGAACACTCGAGGGATGCATCTGTCAGCACTCTCAATACTTCTGTCTCTAGAATATCTGAGAGTTGTAGTGGACAGCATCCCCTGAGTGTCCTCCATGTTTCAGTTACAACTTTGGTGAGCGTGGAGCAGAGGCAGGTAGATGTTTATTTTTGGCAGTGGTCTTGAGAGCAGCACAGAACTAGGGTGGGCATACACTATGTGGATGAAAAGAAGTTCTCTCAATTGTGCTAAGAATGACAGCTGAAACTATGAGCCTCTCCATTTCTTTCAGGGGCCATTCAGAGGAAACACAAGTGAAATCCTAGGGGCCAGGTATAGACATTACACTTTTACCAGTATAAGTAATTGGAAATCAGTCTATACCTGTAACAGAACGTAAGTTCAGCGCACATAGGCCGCATCCACATGAGTGGGAATGTGTGGTTTCCAGTACCTCAAAGCCTTTTGAGTCACCATGAAACATGCAAAGTGGATCCATTCTCCATGCTGCATATTTGTCCCCAGAGAAAAGCACATGCACACCTATCTGGATGCACCCATAGAGGTTGGTTTAAAAATTGTGGAACCCAGTCTAAGATTTGCCCCCAGACAAGAGGCAAATCTGTGTTCTATTGACTACCCATATAAACTACATTGCTTACAGAAAACTGCATAACTTAGATCAATTCTACCTCAGGCTTTTTTGAATGTCTGTACTTAGCCTGGGTGGCCCAGGTTGACCAGTCTTCAATCTGATGACTGATCCTCTCCCTCCATGTGTTATGAACTTCAACTAAATCTCTTATCTAAGAAAAAAAATCAGAAGCAGAGAAAGTGGGAAGTCTCTATTTTTACCTTTGTACAGGGTAATCACTCTTTCTCCCACCCCTTTTTTCATTTGTGTAAGTATGGATGTGTCTTTATTTATGGGTGAAGGAAATGAATATGCCCTTAGCAGTCTCAAAATATAAGAATTAATTTGTTGCTAAATAAGAGTGTGCATCCTCTTGAGTTATAAGTAGTTTTATTCAAAGTTGCTATTGGGTATGATTTAATCGTCCTCTCTAATTAACTGTGTAGAAAGGGTCTGTTCCACTGTGAAGGGTACTGGTGGAAGCTGTTAAATAAGAAAAGCACAGTAATGTCTAATAAAACATAAATAGGAATTATTGGAAGGGGGGCTGCCCACAGTTATGCGGCACCTGGATTGCATTCTCATGCCCCAGGACCCTGGGCAGAGCCACACTATAAGCCAAGCAGGGATGACCTGCCAGAGCCTCCACCATGGCCTTGCAGTGGCAATGAGCCATCAGTGGGAGAGGGTCCCTTGGGGCAACAGGAGCCCATCCCACCATGGTGCCTGCTCCCAGCATCATCCAGCAGCTCCAGCAGCCTGGACTATTGCCTGCCCGGCCAGCTCTGGATGCAGACCCCACCCAGGAGGCCAGCCCAAGGATGGCACTACCCACCCTCATGAGCTCCAGGTCCTACCTGGCCAGGAGGGTACTGTGCCCCTGCAGCCCAAGATGCTTCTGAGGGCTGCATGTCATCACCACCAGGATGGACAAGCCAGGCCACTGGGCTTGCCTGCTACATCCACCTGGTACTACCCACATTGGGAAGAAGGCCCTCCCATCCCTGCCCCTGCTCTGCCTGCCTGAGCTTCCCCTGGTCCCTGGAAATTCCCCAACAGCAGACAGGGAGGTGGAAGGCAGTGCAGAACTTCATTGACCAGCCAGTGCCCTCTCAGTTAGGCAGACACAGGCTTCTCACACATGGAGTAATACATCGATGCTGGTGTCAGTGTTGTCCTCAGCTCCAGGGTCAGGAATGTGTATCATACATACCTCTCCAGGCAGCAAACATTGTGGGCAAGTGCAGACTTACCTTCTGCACTTGCAAAGCTCAGGATCCCACACTGGGTTCTCAGGTGCACCTGGGGCACCATGGCAATCAGCAGCAGCAGAGCATAGTGGGTCAAGCTCCTCTCGGTCCACATAAACAACTCATTGCAGCACACCTTGGAAACTCTCAGCAGAGGCATGCTCAGGGACCAGGGTGACCAGGCATTCCAGGACAGTTTCCTGGCCCTTGAGGAGAGGCACATTGTCCTCCTCCAGAGGATAGTAGGGGCCCAGAACTGGAAGGTTGCCATGGGGGCAGGGCAGTGGAGGCCAGTGAGTCTGGAGTCCAGTGCCTTGACACCATCCTGGCTCTGGAGATCACCTTCAGCCCACCCACAGCCCTAGCCACACCTGCCCCTTGGCAGCTGCCCACCCCCCAGCCATAAGCCCCACCGTGGACTTAAACTGAGGTGCAGTGGTGCCTCCAGCAGCCAAGTCCTCTTGCCCCAGCACTTGGTTCAGGTCCTAAGCTATCTAGGTCCCTCACCTGGGCCCAGCCCTGGCACTTGCTCCAGCTCTATGTAACCTCAGAGCAGGAGCTGCCTGTAGCAGGACCAGCATCCTGTAAGAGTCCTGCTGTGCCTGCCCACTGGCTGCAGGAGGGGGCGATGCCCACTTCAGCAGAGCAGTGGCCACCCTCACCACTGGGCAAGTCCCCCACCCACCAACCTTACTGCAACATGCACATCCAAAGTGATACAGCCAGCAGCCATTGTATTGGGCACCTGTCTCCAGGTACCATCCCATAGGTTGCCTCATCCCACCGCCCCCACTGGGTGGTTGGTTCTAGTTTCTGTGAGTTGGGGTGGAGGGGGAGGGGAACTGTGGTTTGGGAGGGGGGATGTGGTCTGTTGTTGGGGAGGCAGTGGGCAGGGACTCTATTGTTTGGGGGGGAGGTGGGGATGGGGGTCTATGTTTGTGGAGGGGAATAAAGTGCTTTGCAGAAAACTCCACAGTGAGAGTGGTGCTGTATGCGTGCATATATTACATAGGCACAAGATTGGAAAAGAGAGAGAGACAGAGAGGTGTATTATTTTTGTAGGACCTGCAAATCCAGGGACACTAGGCTCTTTCAGAAAAATGGAATTGACTGACTTCAAGGCAAAATGCCAACTGTAGTGACTTACGGGCTCCAACTGTAGTGACTTACGGGCTCTCTCTGCTCAACGTCAGTGAAGTCATTCGTGCTAGAAACCTTGGCATTGATGGCCCCCATCCCTGCACCAAATGGTGTACTGCTGGCATCCTAGGCAGGAAAGCCAGCAGATAAAGATGGAGCT